TTGACCAGGGATCATAAAGATCTCATGTTGATATGTAATAGTATATTTCTTTTGAACTGCTAATCAATCATTAAATTGATTCATTTGTGTCAAAGAGGTCTTGGACACAAATTTGTTCCATGCTAAGTGTAGAGGAATCAGCTGAGTAGTCCTCAAATAAAATAAGTTGCCTCAGCTTATAAGGTAAATAAAATAAGCATTTCTCAAATAAGTAGCTGCCTCACCTCACTGCCTTACTGCTACATAGCCTTCCTGGTATGGTGCCTTCTTTTGATAATTACTTGTTCCACACCCAAATTGTATAACAGGAAGAGGTTTTGGACCCCTACTTCCCTCTCTTTTTTAATAATCTATATAGTCATAATTATAGCTTTAAGTATTCAATGAATAAAGTTTTTGACATTTTTACCCTTCTTACCCAACATCATTTGTGCAGCATATTTTTATTTTATGTCTCGCCCAGATTTAATTTCAAAATAAAACCAAACTAAATAAATTAGAAATGGGTATGTATAGCTAAGGTACACCCTTACTACTAGGTGAACAGGGGCATTTGGTGATAGTAAATGACCCCATCAGGCAGGGCTCATCACCTTCTCTCATATTTCATGTTCACCAGTGTTTATTTACTTAATAACTACTGGTATAATATCTTGCTATTATAAAACTAATTCTACTACAGAGCACCACTTGGTTTTCGAACCCTTTGAGGACGAGACCCGTTGGTTAACATGTAAGTTCGTATACGAGAAATGGAGGAAAAAATAAAAAAAAATAATTTGAAAAAAATCTAGGGGAAAAAATAGACAGGTTCATAGCGTAAATGCGTGACCGTATTTTGTTTGTACTCGCCAATAATTGAAGTCCTGATCCGCTTATGTTGATGATCGATGTTGATGAAGCATAGTTATTTACATGGAAGAGGTGGTGGTGGATGTTGGTGTTGGATTGACTGAAGTTGTTGGGTTGACTGGGTCAACATGCGATGAGTCAGGTGCTGGTGATGCAATGCGAGCTTTCTTGGAAGCCATTGCAAAAGACTCTGTAATTGACATTTGTTTCGTTCCCTTGGCTCTTGTTTTTAAAAACTTCATATACAAATTGTACCGAGTCATCATGTCCTTAGTTTCAAACTCGCTGTAACTCGTGTCCATAAATGCCAGAATGTACTGTATTCAAAATTTTGCTGAACTTTTTTCATATCACATTTTTCCTTTAACGTTTCTTCATCCTCTTCCTCTTCCTCTCCATCTCCATCTTCTTCATTGCACTCGTCTGGCTTTTTTGCTGTACATACTAATTCTATAATTTCATCATTAGTCATGTTTAGATTGTTTGGGGCTTCATCAAAATCTATCCATCTATCTGTCATCTTCGATTGTTTCAGTCACCAGTTCTGCTCTAATCTCGGGGGACTTAATCCCCTTGACATAGGCTAGGAGTTCCTCTCAATTTTTTCTTCTCGCTAACTTTCTTCACCGCAAATCCTTCAAAATCTGCCTCGTCATCTTCCTCAGGAAACAGACTTGACGCGGGCCAAAGTTTTTTCCAACCATTTCTTAGTGTTGTCTGCTTTACCTCATCCCACGCACTAGCAACAGTCCAGATAGCTGACTTTATTGTGAAGACTTTATAAAAGTCCTTAAGTGTTCCAAGCTGATTGTTAAGATGTCTGGCAAACATCCTCTTGTAGTGGTGTTTAAGGTTCTTAATTATTCCTTGATCCATGGGTTGGATCACTGAGGTTGTATTGGGTGGCAAGAACGTTCCAATAATATTGCCATTTATAAGCTCATCACCTCGTGGATGCGTTGAACTGTTATCTAGCAGCAGCACAACTTTGCTGTTTTGCGGGAGACCAACACTTTTCAGGTGCTCCTTCACCTCGGGTACAAAGTTCTTATTAAACCACTCGACAAATATTACTCGAGACATCCACGCACTTGGCTGGTCCTTATAAATCACGGAGGCACCTGGCTGACTTTAAAGCCCTGGGGTTTTTACTAATTCCAATCACAAGTAACTTTAATTTGTGCGTGCCAGCTGCATTTGCACAGCACAACAAAGAAATTCTGTTTGTTCTGTTTATAACCACCTGAAGGATCGTCCTCACCACTATGAGCCATCGTTTCTGTGGGAAGCATACGCCAGTACAAACCTGTCTCATCAGCATTATAAATTTGCTCTGGAGATAAATTTTGTTCCTGCACCATGTCCGCAAATTTACTCGCATACTCATCAGCACCAACAATATCAGCAGATTGTCTTTCACCATGCACTTTAATAAACCTAATGCCATGACGGGTTTTAAAACTTCTGAGCCAACCATCACTGTATACACACTTTTGAGTAATTTTCATTGCTTGGTGAAATTCACGCGCCTTTTCCACGAGGAGCCAGCCTGCCACTGGCTTCTTCGTCACTTCACGTCTCTGTTTGTACCACTCCCACACTGCGTTATCAACACTCTCCACTTTTGCTTTACTTACTACCTTTCTATTTCGTATTGCTTTATCACTTTCACTTCTAGAGAAAGTCAAAAATGATAGGTTTAGCCTTAAGAAGATCAAAAACAGTACTTTTACTAATGCCATACTCAGCGCACACGACACTTCTCGGGACACCGCTTTCCACCTTCTTAATTATTTCAACTTTCTTTTCAAATGTCATCACTGACCTCTTTCTTTTACGTAACCCGCTTGTAGATGCTTTCACTGACACAATGCGTGCATTTGGAGCCAACATGGTGCACGGATGTTCCTTGATTGTGCCGATATGTAAAACAAAGTCACGGAATGAACACTCCAGTCTCGTGACAAATTCAAACAATGGGAACAATAGGCCGTGAGTCTGTGACGTCACAGGGTAGCCGGCGGTGCCCGACACGGTCAGTGAGCAAACTAAACCATCACCCACCCCCCCACCCACCCACCACGGGCCGGCACGACGCTTGGCTGACCGCTTCCTTACCCGAGCCAGCCTGCCTGCCTCCTTACCCGAGCCTGCCCTGTATCTGTATCGTCAAACACATATTTACTTCAAGTTTCAAGCAGAGAATGCATATATAACTAACACGAAGGACTCCTCTTCACTAAATTCACCAGCTATAATATTTTGGTCATGTTCCAATATCATAAATCGATCTCAGCGTTATGTAGTAGAGAAAAAATGACTCGTAGCTTTACGTAAACTGGATACGAGTGGTCGAAACCACACTTAAATCCCGGAATGAACTTGCGAAGGTTTTTCCACTTAAGGTAGCTACTTGAATACGGACGTAGCCGCCACGAAGGCGCTAAGACGGAAAGCGTTCTTAGCCAAGAGGAAAAACTTTCGTAAGTACCTTCCTGAATCCGGCTCCAGAACCTGACCCCCTCAGAGAGGCACGGGGAGCAATGGCCCATAGAATTGCACATGTGATTTGGAGCATTCTATATCTGCCATCGACCGGGACAGGCACCCAGAAAGGTAAGCACCACAAAACAAACCCCTATTCTGGTTAACAACAAAAATCAACAAACGAGTGGACAGAACTTCCCCAGAAAAACGAACTAACAAGCATGACGTCACACGAGCCGTGCCGCATGTCTGCGCAGATCCCCCCTCCCCAGGAGGGGAAGGGGAGCCCAGACCCCGGCGCCAACAATCCCCGCCACAGTTCCGAGGCTGGATATCAAAACTGCAAAAAAAAAAGCCGACCGGAGGGCGGGAGGGTGCCGGGGAGCCTCCGGGACTCGCCCAGAAAAAGTTTTTTCTTGACTTCATTTCAACACATTGACCTACAACTTTCACATATTCGAGTACGAATGCCAAACAATGTTTATTAAAACATACAATTAAATTAACGAATTAAAACTACCTTTATTCATTGTTGATAACTTGAACTACAATTATCTCTGAAACTAGTTTCAACTTTGAGTGGCTTCTAAAATTCCAGTTTTTGACTGATTCTCACTATTTTGATATATTGTGTGCTCAGCTGTCTGTTCTGCAATCCCTTCTGAATGGAATTTTCATGAACTTTATACGTTTGGAGTAATTTTTTTTTTTCTAAATTTACCCTATATTTCAAATGCCCTATTGACAATTTTTTTTTTCATTAAACTATACTGAAAACCTATATTCTAATTTGATTAAAATGAAGATCATGTACTATTCTGAGAGAATAATAACATTAAATGAACAATTGGTGATAGTTCATATTTTGTATTCTGAATTGTAAATCTGAAATTTTCAATATTCAATTTTAAAATTTTGATTCTCGTTTTTCAAGTTACGCTGTAATCATTTACACAAAGTTGGAGCATTTTCCTAGTTGATTATGCAAAAAAAAAATTACATGGTAGTTTGTGCAAGTTTTAAAAACTTATGTTGAATTATTTTGTTAAATCATATGTATTGCATGGTCTAAGGGTTAATAAATTTGTTAAATAATGACAAATTTTTAATTATAAATGTATGATAATTATGAATAGTCTTGAATTAAAAATTTTTTGTTTACATGATTCCTGCAGCATGTCCCTGAACAGTCTTGTCACAGACAGCCCACAGGTGCAGGAAAATGCTGCCAGTATCTCTTCCAACTACAACCTATCCTCTACGTTGCAGGTATGGCACCTTAGCCCCTCAAGCACTGACATGGGCAGGTAAATCTTTGAGTGTTAAACCTGGTTTTCCTCTTGTCTTGATAAAGACGAAATTCTCGGTATGCAGTAGCTTGTTCTCCCTTTGCCTTGATAACTTACCCAAAACTGAGAAAGTTGAATATAAAACTTAATGTTCTGTTTTAATTATCATACTCGAAATTACGTGAGGGGCCACAAATACTAACGGCCTCGATGAGGACAGGCGGCTTGTCAAAGGTTACCCCCGCCAATTTGCTCTGATCTTTTCTACCTGAATTTTAAAACCCAGTAAAATTGGCTTTTATGGCTTCAGCATGTAGGCAGTTCCACTGGTTTACAACACTATGGCTGAAAAAAGCATCTCCTTCCTGTCCTACATTGTTGCTATTTGAGCTTGAACCGTTGCCCTGTGTTAAATCTGACATTTTGAAGAAGTTATCCGGATCGACATCCTCCAAATTGTTTCAATATTATAAGTTTCTGATATCTGTCCTGTTATTCTTGGTTTGCAATGTTAGCCCAGTGGCCGTCACCGTTCCATATACTCGAGATGACTAGGCTCTGATTTGATTTGTAATATTCTCATCTGTCCTTGTTGTATGACAAAAAGGGTTTCCCCCAAAATGGATCCCTGTGGCACCCCACTTAGCACATTTCCACAAAGATTCATTCCCATTTAGCACGACTTTCTTTTCTAAGTTTTAACCATTGTTTTATAGATTCCAGTATTCTCCCATTTATTCCATTTCCTGAAATTTCCTTGCCAGTCATTAATGTGGTACCTATCAAAAGCTTAGAGTTCATGTAGGCTTCATCTACCGAAAGTCATTTGAATAGCCGGTTACCATTTCCAGGAATGTGAGTTAGTAAAGCAGGTTCTAATTTTAACAAACCAATGTTGTTGATTTTACAATATTGTTTTCTATAATGTTATATGATTCCTTCCCTTTGGATTCCCTCAATGAGCTTGCAGATGTGTGATGTCAAGCAGATTGGATGAACCTAGCTCTACTTCTGGTAACAAATATGGGTAACATTTTCATACTTCCAAACCAGGGGAACGAAGTGCTGGACCAACCGGGACGTGGTGGGTATGTGGGCCTGCGGGCCGCTCCAAACCTGGTGGACCAAACTCTCACAAGTCAAGTCAAGTTGACTTGACTTGACCATCGTAGACTATTAAATAAGTAATAGGTACATGTCTCTCTCTCATATATTATATAAACATAATTTGGGAAAGTAGCCCTTGGCAGGTAGTGTAAGTTGAATAGAGGCAACATCAGGACAAACTTTTCGTATCCATTAAGTGTATTACTTTACTTACCGTTTACTTTTGTTTAATTGAACTATCAAACATGGCAACAGATTGACATATGAGAGAGAGAGAGAGAGAGAAAACGAGAATGAGAACTCCCAGGCAGCAGTCAATTGATTGTGATCTGTTCTCAGATATACAACAAATGTTAGATTTTGCCAATACTGCAAGTGAAGCTTGGCCTTGTGAGAACCGACCTGTGAGATTTATATAGAATTTATATTTACATTAATTTATATATTTCGATAGCAATTTGTATGGTGTTAAGTGGACTGTATTTCTGCAATAATCTCACAAATCGATCCTTACACATTAGGGGGGTTTACATTAAATTTATATATATGCAGCCAATCGAATTACAGTATTAAACTACATATATTAGTATATAAATTGAGGTGCCGCCTTATCTTATTGTATAGTATGCTTAGTCCACCAGGTATAACTAGGATGTAGACACCAAATTATCCTCGTGAGAGGCTAGCTTCCATCACCCAAGTAACTGATGTACCAAGATTAATTCTTGCTTCCTCTTCTTGTTCCTGTCAAAGGGCACTAGCTGTAAAGTCGGAATCCTAATATACATATGACAGCTATATCAGAGAAAACACTCTATATTATATAAGATAAGGACCAAGGCTTAATTACCTGTATTTAGAGGCTCTTTCTCGTGCTAACCGGTTCGCCCTATATCTCCCTAACATTAACTGGCCAGAAATGATTAGATAAACGGGTTTCGGTAAGACACTTCCCTTGTTTATGTTGACAGCGTGATGATGGTAGAACACTACTTTGATCTCCATAACACTTCGTCCAAGAGAAATTATAGGAGCTGAATTTGCTCCCCAGTGCCTCTGGTCTTAACAATGGCTGACCTCTCATTACTGACGCTCCTGGCTCTCTTTGTCCAGATATCAATGTGATAGAAGGGTCACATTTACTCTATTTTGACACTGATAATTAAGTTAATTCAAATGAGATGTTTTTATGATGGTAAAAGTCCAAAGACTAATGTATTTAAGAATAATTCGCAACAGAATAGCTGGTGAATTTATAGTACCATGTGGCAGTGATATCCTGTTTTCTATTGACGGAAAATTCCACTACAAGCTACATTTTCTATGGGTTAACTTGTGTATACTACGGCAGCAGCATTATCTGCGTATTGCATGTAATATTAAATAGTGTCAGGTTTTCCGACAGGCCTACACCTATCCACACCACTGGACGTTTGTCTTTCTTTCAACAGGCAAGTGAAGGAACTGGAGCTATAGCTTCCGTTGAGACCGTGACAGCCAACTTGGACATATTCCGGGAACACGCTTTATATGGACTGCTACTGGAGCTGAGTATGGCACACCATAGCTGTAATGGATGCGGGTCCTTCAGATGTTCTGGTTGGTAGATGTTGGTCGTTGTCAGGGCCTTATAACTTAGAACCTATAACACACCAGAAATATATATTCTATTACATTTGTCAAGGAAGAGGCTTCAGATTGCGAATTTCATTTAGGAACAACGTTTTGTACATAAAAATGGCTAAAGAGTGTATGTGGAATGAGTTTATATGTCGCATTTTTAGGAATTTAAACAGAGGGATGTATGTTGTCTGGAATGTTTATTGTTGTGAGTGCAGATTTTTGCTGGGTGATGGGCTTGAGGTAGTTTGCAACGGTTGAACCCTGTACACAGTGGGGCACTGGTGGCTGAGTGGACAGCATGCTGGATACGTAGTGCTGAGATGCGGGTTTCGATTCACAGTGCCGGCGAGAAACAAAAATGGGCAGTTTCTTTCACCCTGATGCCCCTGTTACCTAGCAATAAATAGGTGCCTGGGAGTTACAGCTCTTACAGGCTGCTTCCTGGGTATGTGTGTGTGTGTGGAGGGGGGGGGGGTAAAATAAAATTGGTTAATCATTGTTGAGAGGCAGGCTGAAAGAACAGAGCTCGACCGACCGCAAGCACAACTAGGTGAATAGATACCATGTCCAAGATATGGATAGATTAGTGCATAGTATAATAAGAGCAGAGTTTGGAACATATCTGATTTTAGAAAGTATAACTACTTTTTTAAACTTTTGGGGGGTTTGTTGTATGTGGGTGCTGAAGTTGTCTGGCCTTTGTATAGGCCAAGGAATTTCATCATTTTTATAGCTTATGTTAACATTGTCAATCTGAAGCTGAATTTCATTTGGTAATTTGGGTGAATGACATGGTATGCCCTGCAATAGAAAAATATCTGCAGGAGAAACATTTGCCACTCGAGACCCTGCTTCTCCTCGACAATGCTCCTGCTCATCCTCCAGGCTTGGAAGATGAATTGTTGCACAGATACAGTAATTTTCTCAGTAAAGTTCCTTCCTTCTAACACCACTCCTCTAATTCAGCCCATGGACCAGAAAATCATAGCGAATTTTAAGAAATTTTATGAAAGGGCACTTTTCTGGAAATGTTTTGAAGTGACTGAAACCACAAACTTCACCCTCAAAGAGTTCTGGAAACATTCTTTTAACATTTGTAGTTCTTTAAAACTCGTTGACAAAGCCTGGCAAGATGTGACTCGAAGAACCCTGATCTTTGGCTGGAGAAAATTGTGGTCGGAATGTATGCCAGAACTAGACTTTAAGGGGTTTGAGCCTGTAAATGCTGTGCCTATTGTTGAGGAAATTGTTACTCTGGGCCGGCAAATGGGCTTGGAATTGGATGGTGATGACGTGGAGGAGTTTGTGGAAGAACACAACGAAGAACTGACCACCGAAGAACTCCAAGCCCTTCAAAAGGAACAGCAAGAAGAAACAGCTGAGGATGTTTCTCCAGTGGAGGAGGATGAGACAGCAGCAAATGTCCCGCAACCATTAAGAAGTGGTGTCAGATGTGGGAAGAGATGCAAACTTTTATTGAAAAGACTCGCCCAGAAAAAGCTGTAGTAGGCCGTTGCATTAATCTTTTCAATGGCAATGTGATGCCTCACTATAGACATCTTGCGAAGAAGGGAAAAACAATCTTCCATGGACAGATTTGTTGAGAACATCGAGCAGTGAGCCACAACTAGGACCTAGTTGTATGCAGGCAAAACATGCCAGAGAATGCACCCCAGAGAGGTCCTCACTGCCTGATGTTATAATGGAAGGGGACTCCCCTTCCAAACAGTAACACCTCTCCTCCTTCCCCCTCCTCACCATCTTCCATATGCCAACAGCAGTCATTAGCAATGGTAAGTAATAACTTGAACATAGTTTTGTAGTGTAGATTTTGATGAATTGGGTATAAAATTTAGTTTGAAGTGAGGTTTTTGGGTAGTCAGGAATGGATTAATTCATTTCCCATTATTTCTTATGGGAAAATTAGCTTCAGGTTATGAGTTTTCGGGTTACGAGCTGTCTCCAGGAATGGATTAAACTTAAACCGAGGTACCCCTGTACTGTATAAATGGTTTTGTGGTATATCTGAATAGAATTTGGAAATTTCTTTGCATACTTATCCTGAAAACTCAATTTCATTAGACAAAATTTTTAATTAACACTTTGATGCTCTGGGCGCATATGCGCCACCCTACCCCGGGTGGGTTTGGGCGTTCCGCGGGAGCGCGCGGTAATTCTGAAAAAAGTGAAATCTTTTCAACTTTGTTACCTCAATTCTCGCCATAAGTTTTTCAATTTGGTATCATTGTGATCACAATAGAATTCTCTACAGGACTAAAGGCATATAAAGTCCAAATGCCCAGTGTACCATCCGCAACAAAGTGAGAGAGTTACCCAGGAGTGTGCAAGACCGATAAAATGTGTACACTCCTTTCACTTGTCACCTCAATTCTCGTCCTAGGTCTTTCATTTTGAATCAATGTGTTAGGAATAGAATTCCCAACAGGAATGTATGCATATAATGTCAAAAACAGCGGCGCGCGCTCTACCCGCCGTAAAGATGAAAGTTGCCAGAAAGAGCACGCTGCACCACCCCAAGGCGCCTCTCATTTCAATAGAGCGCGCAGTCATACCGAAATGTGTGTACTCTCTTCAACTGTCATCTCAATTCTCGTCCTAGGTTTATCAATTTGGTATAAATGTGTTTGCAATAGAATTCTCTAAAAGACTAAATGCATATAAAGCCCCAAAACAAGGCAAGAAAGTGAGAGCGTGTTACCCGGGAGCGAGAAAGAGCAATAAAATGTGTACATTCTCTTCACTTTGGACATCTCAATTCTCGTCCTAGATCTTTCATTTTTGTCATTGTGTTTGCAATGGAATTCCCTACAGGAGTAGGGAAATGCAAATATAAAGTCCAAAAACCCGGTGTCCCACCCACAGCAAACGGAGAAACTGACTGTGCGTTACCGCAGTGAGTGCTAATAATGAGCAATAAAATGGGTATACTCTCCAACTTTGTTACCTTAATTCTGGTCCTAGGTCTTTCATTTTGGTATCATTGTATTCGCAATGAAATTCCCTACAGGTGTATATGCATATAATGTCCAAAACCACGGCGCGCCTCTCCCGAAACCATCGCTAATTTGCTGCCGGAAATCACGCAATGCTGCATCATTACCGGACTTCCCCCAAGTAAGAACATCATGAACTGCTGCGTCATTACCGGACCAAAGTGTTAATGTCAAAAGTTGCAAAAGCTCTAGAAAGGCTCTACAAATTTATATAATGGGTTTCATGTCACTTTTGACATTGTATTTTAACACTTTCGCGCTTGGGATTATCCATGATTCGTCACCGTATTTTCTTACGTTTACGCATAACAGACGACGCCTGTAGTCCATCGAAAAAATATTTGTATAAAATCCATTTATTATCCGATCAACTTGGGAATAGTATACAAATGTTTGCCATGAAATTTACGTTTTCTCTAATAGCCGAACAGCTTATAAAAGAAAACGGCGTGGCAGTGAATCATCGTGGTAAAACAATTGTATTATTGACACGACGAGTGTAATCGACGTAGTTTTTATATATGTTGCCGGTCGAAAGCATCCTTATGTGACCTTTAATACTTATGTTCTTATAGAACATTCTATTGCGAGCACATTGGTACAAAAATGAAATACATACATCGACAAATAATGTCAGGACAGTGAATTGAATATACACTTTTCAAAGCGAGTTTCGCCGATATGCTGCCGCGGGTAACACTTCGGCTACTTCCCACACTGTTTTGGGAGGGCTACGACATTGAATCTATATTTATATGCATATGTCCGTGTAGAGAATTGTATTGCGATTCCAATGATACCACAATTAGCGATGTAGGGCAACTGTAGGCTTCGCAACCATTAAGAGAGTAGAAACATTTTGTTGCTGTTTGGCGCTCTTGGCGAGTGATCTGAATAGTTTTTTTATTTGGTGTTGATAGTCCTTATGGTTTGGCGGCATTTTATAGATATGTTCTTATAGACAATTTTATTGCGAACACAGTGATACCAAATTTAAATACGTGCGCCTTCAATTATTATCAGGACAGTAAAAAGAGTGTACACTTTTTCGGTTTTACCGCGTAGGCGCGCGGAGCGCCGAAAGCATCTAGGGTATTATTTTTTTTTGAGCGCCAAGAGTGTGAAAGTGTTAACAGTTGGTTTAAATGTACAAAGTTTGACTCAGGGAGGTTGATGATTAAATATCTTCAAGAACCGTATTTATTTTCCACAGTACTGTTGTGTTCGTTACTACCCGAGTCCACCAATGACATGATGAACATCTACTTCAAGAAAAATGAGAAAATACCAAGATTCCTTTCAAAAATCATGAACAATGAAGTGGACACGGCTGTACGCTGGTGTATTGAGATCTCTTATCCGAGACTTTTAGGCAAGTATAATATATAAACTGCCTTTAGCTTACACTTCGTCTCAAGCTATTGCCTGTGGACTCCCATATTAAAGATTGGCACAACATTTAAAAACTACAATCACAGTACTCTGCTACACTGTTATTTTATTAAATATGAAACTTAAAGGCTTCTTTATTTAATTTTTTTAGGACCCTGGCATAGTTCATTTTGTCTTAAGGGACTTGTTTACCTTTAATTTTTTGTTTTGTTTAATAACTGATAACTCCCCAGCCCGTTGCCATCTTGTAGGCGGTTGTCTTTTAGACATGTAATCGAGAGAAAACCTGCACCTTACTCTTATATAATGCCCCAATTTTCAAAATTATAAAAAATTTACTTCCCAACTGTGTGTATGCATAAAAGTGTAGTATTCTAAATCACTTTCATAATGCAGGATTTCAAAATTCTGCTCCCATATACATTCAGTAATATCTAGGGACGTCACTAGCAACATATGGTAACAAATACATTTATTTCACAGAAAGAATGAAAGCCTGCAAGCCGACATACGTTGCAAAATTAATTGGTTTAGTAGAGGCAAGTGTGTGTGTGCTTTTGAAATGCGAAAGCAAAGATGTTAACAGCGCCAGCAGCTCCTGCGGCTTGTCAAAAACGCCATGTGCTCATACTACTACTGAACAGCAGGCCCCAACAACCGCTGTGGATACAACACTGGAGCTTGGTAAGCTGGCTAAAGTTAAACTTTTAGTCTTGAAAAGCCACTAACATGCAGTGGTCCTTAATCTTAAGAGTAATTATAAGTAGGAAATTTGTATATAAATTTGAAGAATATTAACAGGTACATTGTAAGAAAACTTGAAGTTGCATGCTTATGCACATATATTGGGGGGGAGGGGGTAGCACAAATTGGTGTGCGTTTGCAGCACAAGGTTGGAAACTGAGGATGAAATTAGGTATTTTTGGTATTACGTTTGAATAATGCATAATAAAATTAATAAAACTTTAATTAAATAGTTCCATAGACTATGTTCATTTTTATCTGCACTGTTTTTGCACGGATTTAGTTTGACTCTGGGGATATCGGATATTTATTTCTGCTGATTATAGGTTCTACTACATCTGTCAAGGAACCATTTCAAATCCCATTAGGGGCAAGGTTTTGCACAAGTGGCACAAGAATGTGTAGTGAGCTTATATTTAGCATGTTTAGGGATTTAAAGAAGGGCTGTGGCTTTTTGGAAGATTTTAATACCAATCTTCAAATATGGAAGCACAAATATTTGTTATAAATTCTTAATGTACAAATTGGATCTCTGCACATGTCATTCACTATCCCTCTTGGCAGGCAGGACAGCTGTACAAGAAGGTACATCTAGAACGTCCCAGCACCTGGAGATTTCGGATGCCACCTCCATTTCATCCTGTCTACCTCCCAGGGGGTACACATTTGAGGTGGGTCTACCGTGGAATTTTAAAACCAATGTTACTCAAACTACAAAAGGATTTTGAGTAGATATATTTAACCTTTGTTTAAAAATAGTTCTGCAAAACCAAATTTTAGATATACCTAAAATTTTTGGATTTGCAGAACTATTTTCCAAGCTTCCAAGGCTTTGTAATGGTATAAAAAAATACCAATTACTTTTTAACCACCGTGCTGCGCGGAGTTTGAGAAATTCCCCTGGTGCGCATGAAATTAAGTGTTCCCAAAAAATTCTTTGTGGGGAACACTTTTGTGCTCTTTACAATATGTATACAGTAGAACGTTCATTATGTTCCATGGAACTGTGATAAATGTCAGTAATGTGTCCGTAATAAATGTTTATTGTCGCAATATTACCTGTTAAAAAATCACTAAAATTACAATATGTTCAGTTTCACACACTATTTACACAGTAACACACCGTATTACTCGCTCAGTACTTCGGAAGTAAGTAATAATCAACGAAATAGCCCATGGTACACAGTGCGACTTCGCTCTCAGTGCACCAGGTACAGATAAATTATCGCTTCCTGTTTCTTCATTCTGTGTGCTTGCAAATAACGCACTCACGTACACCCTTGGCTTTAGAACTTGTAGGTTGCATGTAACCAACCTTGTAAACCATAAGTTAGTATTGAAAAGATTATAGGAAAAGATCAATTTGTAAGTCTTGAAAAGAACGTGTTGTATGGTCCAATATATCAATATATCAATGTGATAGAACGGTCACATTTACTCTATTTTGACACTGATAATTAAGTTAATTCAAATGAGATGTTTTTATGATGGTAAAAGTCCAAAGACTAATGTATTTAAGAATAATTCGCAACAGAATAGCTGGTGAATTTATAGTACCATGTGGCAGTGATATCCTGTTTTCTATTGACGGAAAATTCCACTACAAGCTACATTTTCTATGGGTTAACTTGTGTATACTACGGCAGCAGCATTATCTGCGTATTGCATGTAATATTAAATAGTGTCAGGTTTTCCGACAGGCCTACACCTATCCACACCACTGGACGTTTGTCTTTCTTTCAACAGGCAAGTGAAGGAACTGGAGCTATAGCTTCCGTTGAGACCGTGACAGCCAACTTGGACATATTCCGGGAACACCCTTTATATAGACTGCTACTGGAGCTGAGTATGGCACACCATTGCTGTAGTGCAGAAAAGTCCTCAAGATGTTCTGGTTAGTAGATGTTGGTCGTTGTCAGGGCCTTATAACTTAGAACCTATAACACACCAGAAATAAATATTCTATTACATTTGTCAAGGAAGAGGCTTCAGATTACGAATTTCATTTAGGAACGTTTTGTACCTGAAAGTGGCTAAAGAGTGTATGTGGAATGAGTTTATATGTAGCATTTTTAGGAATTTAAACAGAGGTATGTATGTTGTCTGGAATGTTTATTGTTGCGAGTACAGATTTTTGCTGGGTGATGGGCTTGAGGTAGTTTGCAACGGTTGAACCCTGTACACAGTGGGGCACTGGTGGCAGAGTGGACAGCACGCTGGATACGTAGTGCTGAGATGCGGGTTTCGATTCACAGTGCTGGCGAAAAACAAAAATGGGCAGTTTCTTTCACCCTGATGCCCCTGTTACTTAGCAGTAAATAGGTGCCTGGGACTTACAGCTCTTACAGGCTGCTTCCTGGGTGTGTGTGTGTGTGGGGGGGGGGGGGGTAAAATAAAATTGGTTAATCATTGTTGAGAGGCAGGCTGAAAGAACAGAGCTCGACCGACCGCAAGCACAACTAGGTGAATAGATACCATGTCCAAGATATGGATAGATTAGTGCATAGTATAATAAGAGCAGAGTTTGGAACATATCTGATTTTAGAAAGTATAACTACTTTTTTTAAACTTTTGGGGGGTTTGTTGTATGTGGGTGCTGAAGTTGTCTGGCCTTTGTATAGGCCAAGGAATTTCATAATTTTTATTGCTTATGTTAACATTGTCAATCTGAAGCTGAATTTCACTTGATAGTTTGGGTGAATGACATGGTATGCCCTGCAATAGAAAAATATCTGCAGGAGAAACGTTTGCCACTCGAGGCCCTGCTTCTCCTCGACAATGCTCCTGCTCATCCTCCAGGCTTGGAAGATGAATTGTTGCACAGATACAGTAATTTTCTCAGTAAAGTTCCTTCCTCCTAACACCACTCCTCTAATTCAGCCCATGGACCAGAAAATCATAGCGAATTTTAAGAAATTTTATGAAGGGGCACTTTTCTGGAAATGTTTTGAAGTGACTGAAACCACAAACTTCACCCTCAAAGAGTTCTGGAAACATTCTTTTAACATTTGTAGTTCTTTAAAACTCGTTGACAAAGCCTGGCAAGATGCGACTCCAAGAACCCTGATCTCTGGCTGGAGAAAATTGTGGTCTGAATGTATGCCAGAACTAGACTTTAAGGGGTTTGAGCCTGTAAATGCTGTGCCTATTGTTGAGGAAATTGTTACTCTGGGCCGGCAAATGGGCTTGGAATTGGATGGTGATGACGTGGAGGAGTTTGTGGAAGAACACAACGAAGAACTGACCACCGAAGAACTCCAAGCCCTTCAAAAGGAACAGCAAGAAGAAACGGCTGAGGATGTTTCTCCAGTGGAGGAGGATGAGACAGCAGCAAATGTCCCGCAACCATTAAGAAGTGGTGTCAGATATGGGAAGAGATGCAAACTTTTATTGAAAAGACTCGCCCAGAGAAAGCTGTAGTAGGCAGTTGCATTAATATTTTCAATGGCAATGTGATGCCTCACTATAGAGACTTCTAGTGAAGAAGGGAAAAACAATCTTCCATGGACAGATTTGTTGTGAGAACATCGAGCAGTGGTCCACAACCAGGACCTAGTTGTATGCAGGCAAAACATGCCAGAGAATGCACCCCAGAGAGGTCCTCACTGCCTGATGTTATAATGGAAGGGGACTCCCCTTCCAAACAGAAACACCTCTCCTCCTTCCCCCTCCTCACCATCTTCCATATGCCAACAGCAGTCATTAGCAATGGTAAGTAATAACTTGAACATAGTTTTGTAGTGTAGATTTTGATGAATTGGGTATAAAATTTAGTTTGAAGTGAGGTTTTTGGGTAGTCAGGAACGGATTAATTCATTTCCCATTTTTTCTTATGGGGAAATTAGCTTCAGGTTGAGTTTTCGGGTTACGAGCTGTCTCCAGGAATGGATTAAACTCTTAAACCGAGGTACCCCTGTACTGTGGAAATGGTTTTATGGTATATCTGAATAGAATTTGGAAATTTCTTTGAGTACTTATTTTGAAAACTCAATAATTTCACTAGACAAAATTTTTAATTAATGTCAAAAGTTGCTAAAGCTCTAGCCAGGCTCTACAAATTTATGTGAAGGGTTTTGTCACTTTTGACATTGTATTTTAACAGTTGGTTTAAATGTTCAAAGTAAGTTTGACTCAGGGAGGTTGATGATTAAATATCTGCAAGAACCGTATTTATTTTCCACAGTGCTGTTGTGTTCGTTCCTACCCGAGTCCACCAATGCAATGCTGCAACTCCATTTGAAGAGAAACAAGAAAATTGAAGGAACACTTTCAAAAATCACGAACAATGAAGACTTAAAAGTGGACACGGCTATACGCAGGTGCATTGAGACCACTTATCTGTCACTTTTATGTAAGTATAATATATAAACTGCCTTTAGCTTACACTTCGTCTCAAGCTATTGCCTGTGGACTCCCATATTAAAGATTGGCACAACATTTAAAAACTACAATCACAGTACTCTGCTACACTGTTATTTTATTAAATATGAAACTTAAAGGCTTGTTTATTTAGCAGGTTTTGACACTTTTTTATTATATATTTTTAGGACCCTGGCATAGTTCATTTTGTCTTAAGGGACTTGTTTACCTTTAATTTTTTTTGTTTAATAACTGATAACTCCCCAGCCCGTTGCCATCTTGTAGGTGGTTGTCTTTTAGATATGTAATCGAGGAAAAAACCTGCACCTTACTCTTATATAATGCCCCAATTTTCAAAATTATAAAAAATTTACTTCCCAACTGTGTGTGTGCATAAAAGTGTAGTATTCTAAATCACTTTCATAATGCTGGATTTCAAAATTCTGCTCCCATATACATTCAGTAATATCTAGGGACGTCACTAGCAACATATAGTAACAAATACATTTATTTCACAGCAAAAACGAAAGTCATCAGGTCGACATACACCAAACGGGTCTTGGATACAGTAACTTGCCAATTAGAAATGTACCTAATGGCAGCATACAAAAGTGCTAACAGCGCCAGCAGCTCCTGCGGCTTGTCAAAAACGCCATGTGCTCATACTACTACTGAACAGCAGGCCCCAACAACCGCTGTGGATACAACACTGAGCAGTCATTAGCAATGGTAAGTAATAACTTGAACATAGTTTTGTAGTGTAGATTTTGATGAATTGGGTATAAAATTTAGTTTGAAGTGAGGTTTTTGGGTAGTCAGGAACGGATTAATTCATTTCCCATTTTTTCTTATGGGGAAATTAGCTTCAGGTTGAGTTTTCGGGTTACGAGCTGTCTCCAGGAATGGATTAAACTCTTAAACCGAGGTACCCCTGTACTGTGGAAATGGTTTTATGGTATATCTGAATAGAATTTGGAAATTTCTTTGAGTACTTATTTTGAAAACTCAATAATTTCACTAGACAAAATTTTTAATTAATGTCAAAAGTTGCTAAAGCTCTAGCCAGGCTCTACAAATTTATGTGAAGGGTTTTGTCACTTTTGACATTGTATTTTAACAGTTGGTTTAAATGTTCAAAGTAAGTTTGACTCAGGGAGGTTGATGATTAAATATCTGCAAGAACCGTATTTATTTTCCACAGTGCTGTTGTGTTCGTTCCTACCCGAGTCCACCAATGACATGATGCAACTCCATTTGAAGAGAAACAAGAAAATTGAAGGAACACTTTCAAAAATCACGAACAATGAAGACTTAAAAGTGGACACGGCTATACGCAGGTGCATTGAGACCACTTATCCGTCACTTTTATGTAAGTATAATATATAAACTGCCTTTAGCTTACACTTCGTCTCAAGCTATTGCCTGTGGACTCCCATATTAAAGATTGGCACAACATTTAAAAACTACAATCACAGTACTCTGCTACACTGTTATTTTATTAAATATGAAACTTAAAGGCTTGTTTATTTAGCAGGTTTTGACACTTTTTTATTATATATTTTTAGGACCCTGGCATAGTTCATTTTGTCTTAAGGGACTTGTTTACCTTTAATTTTTTGTTTTGTTTAATAACTGATAACTCCCCAGCCCGTTGCCATCTTGTAGGTGGTTGTCTTTTAGATATGTAATCGAGGAAAAAACCTGCACCTTACTCTTATATAATGCCCCAATTTTCAAAATTATAAAAAATTTACTTCCCAACTGTGTGTGTGCATAAAAGTGTAGTATTCTAAATCACTTTCATAATGCTGGATTTCAAAATTCTGCTCCCATATACATTCAGTAATATCTAGGGACGTCACTAGCAACATATAGTAACAAATACATTTATTTCACAGCAAAAACGAAAGTCATCAGGTCGACATACACCAAACGGGTCTTGGATACAGTAACTTGCCAATTAGAAATGTACCTAATGGCAGCATACAAAAGTGCTAACAGCGCCAGCAGCTCCTGCGGCTTGTCAAAAACGCCATGTGCTCATACTACTACTGAACAGCAGGCCCCAACAACCGCTGTGGATACAACACTGGAGCTTGGTAAGCTGGCTAAAGTTAAACTTTTAGTCTTGAAAAGCCACTAACATGCAGTGGTCCTTAATCTTAAGAGTAATTATAAGTAGGAAATTTGTATATAAATTTGAAGAATATTAACAGGTACATTGTAAGAAAACTTGAAGTTGCATGCTTATGCACATATATTGGGGGGGAGGGGGTAGCACAAATTGGTGTGCGTTTGCAGCACAAGGTTGGAAACTGAGGATGAAATTAGGTATTTTTGGTATTACGTTTGAATAATGCATAATAAAATTAATAAAACTTTTTAATTAAATAGTTCCATAGACTGTTCATTTTTATCTGCACTGTTTTTGCACGGATTTAGTTTGACTCTGGGGATATCGGATATTTATTTCTGCTGATTATAGGTTCTACTACATCTGTCAAGGAACCATTTCAAATCCCATTAGGGGCAAGGTTTTGCACAAGTGGCACAAGAATGTGTAGTGAGCTTATATTTAGCATGTTTAGGGATTTAAAGAAGGGCTGTGGCTTTTTGGAAGATTTTAATACCAATCTTCAAATATGGAAGCACAAATATGTTATAAATTCTTAATGTACAAATCGGATCTCTGCACATGTCATTCACTATCCCTCTTGGCAGGCAGGACAGCTGTACAAGAAGGTACATCTAGAACGTCCCAGCACCTGGAGATTTCGGATGCCACCTCCTATATACTTCCCAGGGGGTACACATATGAGGTGGGTCTACCGTGGAATTTTAAAACCAATGTTACTCAAACTACAAAAGGATTTTGAGTAGATATATTTAACCTTTGTTTAAAAATAGTTCTGCAAAACCAAATTTTAGATATACCTAAAATTTTTGGATTTGCAGAACTATTTTCCAAGCTTCCAAGGCTTTGTAATGGTATAAAAAAATACCAATTACTTTTTAACCACCGTGCTGCGCGGAGTTTGAGAAATTCCCCTGGTGCGCATGAAATTAAGTGTTGTACCCACCACCCACCCACGCTCAGGACACTCAAACTGACACCTGCCACACCCCAAAATAG